TATAGGTCCGTATGTAGTTTATACGTACCTTGCCAGCATCTTGCCATGCAACGCCGGTGAGAGCCTCCACGGCGACGGCGCCGAGAGTGCCGAGCATAGCCCAACGCCCGTGGATCAACTCACACTCTCTGAACCTCTGCAATCCGAAGACCTCGCTGTACGGCTGGAACGGCGTCGGCTTCAGCTCAGTCGTCTCGGCTCGCACTCCGATCACGTCTCCTGCTACATTCTTCGCAAGGTTCTGGTCCAGCGAGTCCAGGTCGAACTGCAAGTAGTCCACCGGTTTTCCCAACCCGAACGGGTCGAACCCACGGTCACCTACCATCGACCCGTCCAGCCATTCTGGAGGAGTCGCGCCTGGGAACCAAACCAGCCGCTCCGACCCGGCTGTCGACTTTGGGGTTGCTTTCTTTGCCGGTGGTTCTGTCTTCTTTCGGCCAAACCCAAAACGGGCCTGGAACCTGCCGGAACTCGGGTTGGGGATCCGGATCCGGGTCCCAAACAAATGTGACGCGGCGGCAGCTGTGGTTGTGGCGGCGGCAGTGGCCATTGCTGGGGTCTTCACACTTTGGCTTTTACAAAACGAATTCTTTTTGCTTATATTGTGAATTATATATATAGAGAGAAAATAAAATTTGTTTTTTTTTTAAAAATCAATATTTTGCATTTAAGAAATATTGTTTTTTTTTTCATTGAATTTTCATATCTGCATTTTGTAATATATAATTAAAAAATGTTTTTGTCTTTTAAAAATTACCCTTTTAAAAAAAATTTAGCAATATTTTCATGACAATTTTTTAAATAATTTTTTTTGGGGGTAATTTTTTAATTTTTTGTGTGGTTTTTATTTATATTAATTTAATTTAATAAATTTTGTATTTTGGTGTTGATTTGATGGGTGTGAATGGGAATGTAAAGGGCCTTATCTGAGCCTTATCTGCTTGGAATTGGATGGTTGATAGTTACGATGGCCTCCTTACCTTATGATGTGGGAATGTCCTATGATATGTTTTTGACATTTTCTGATTTTTACAATTTAAGGATACAATTTTTCTTTCGAAAAAAATGAAAATAATTCGAAATTTTGAAAATTAATTAACTTATTATATATTTTCACCTATTTTTGTTAAATTTTATAATATAATTAGTGTGTATATATTATTTAATTAAATAAATATATAATTTTTTATTAAAAATGTATATGAAGTAACTATTAATATTAATTATGTACAATTATAGTAAAAAAATTTATGAATTTTTGTACACAAAAAAACTAACAAAATAAATAATTTTTTTTTTATTAGAAATATGATTAAAACTATAAACTTCTAATAATCTAAATTGAAATCATCTGCTGGGCCTCAAAAGTCAATAGAGATCCATCAAGTACGACAGTGTTTGGTTGAAGTTAAACATAATGTAGGCTGCCTGTTTGGTTATAATGGCGAAGTTAGGCATGAATTGATGGAGAGCAAAATTGGCCACTAATGAGTTTCAATTTTACATATGAATTGTAATACCCGAACCTGAAATTTGATTCGGTATCAATTTTGATATTTATAAAAATAAAAAAAAAAATTTTAAATTAATTTAATTAAATTTTGTTAAATTATTTGAGAAAAATAGGTTAGGGACGTAATTGAAAATAATTTTAAAAAAAATATGTGAAATTTTGAGTTCGAGTGGTGTTTTTGAAAGAAAAATTAAAAACAAGAAGTCAAAATATAAAAAAAAAAAATTCGGCCACGTGGGACGGACCAATCAGCAACTCCGACAAATTAGAGCACATCGCGTGGCAAAAGACAGTGACGCCGGTGCCACGGGGGCAATCTGCGTGCCCAGCGATCCGACGACCCAGATTCGATCCTACACGCATGAAAGACTCAAATTTATTCCCTCCTTAAGTGCGATCGGACGAACAAGATCAATTGTGATGAACGGTTCAAACTCGCCCACGCAGTCGGCCTAAACAGGCAATGATCGGCGGCTCTCCTCGCTCCACATCGACGCGAATAGACAACCCAGATCGATGCATGATGAGTATAAAAATATTGTGTCGCATGGGAACCCTAAGCCTAGCCGCCCTGCCTTTGTCGGAGAAGAAGGACCAGCCACTGGAGAAGGAGATCGACTTTCGGCTGCTGCCACACTAGAGTCACCACTGACTGCGAAAAAGGGTAAAATTCTCCCATACTCGCTCGAAATTTGATTCTGAGTCTCCCCATGGCCATATTGGAGCAAAATAGGTGGTGGGTGAGCCGGAAACTACGGGCAAAATCTGGTGAAGCCGCTGCGACCGAAATCCTAAACCCCTTCCGATGAGCCCCTTCCCATTTTTTGTTTTACGCAATTTTCTGACGATTGTGTTCACCGTCCTTTTCTATGCTGGTTAGCCGAAAAGGAAACCCTAGCAGCGAAAGAGAACCGGCGGAGTCGCTACACATAGAGACCCATTAGGACACGTAGTAAATAGAGTGACGTCTCGAAACATCGATTCGGGTAAGGATCCCTCACCCTAGTCTCTATTACAGTAAATAGAGATTTAATAATTGATAATTGTATGTTTTGTAAAAACTAAAAAAACCTTAACAATAATTACAGGTCACTAGTGGAGCCAAAAAACAGTGTACATTTGCCCTAAACTCGTCTGTGTTGCCTATTTATTTTTCTGTACTGCCAAAATTACTTGTTGTTCCACTGTATGATTTAAATTATCACATTTAATCTTTTTCTTGTTATTGATTGCCTGATTGTATTTCTTATCTAATTGACTAAGTTGAAAATAAGAGCTTTGAGTACGTTTCTTGGTTATTAAAGTATGAAGTTGTATTGGTTGCATAAATTTTGTTTAATTAATCTGTGAATATGATATGAGAGGTTGGTATGCGCTTGGTCTTTATTTTGTTGATAGAGATCTTTAAGTGAAAGGCTTACTAGGTATCCTGTAAAAGAGTGGATGGGCCCGATACATAAGGATTCCTACCGTGAACGTTACCTCAGTCGGAGGCTGAAAAATTCCATACCAGAAGGATTTGAGAGATATAGTTCACCCTCATACCGGATGGGGTATTGATATAATGGAATGTTTAGCGCCCATTACTGGATAGAGTATGGGGACGACTAGTTAATTGATAAATTTAGATATTTGGTTCATGCGTAGGAAGACATCCCTATGAACCCCCAAGGGTATCAGTAAGTAGGTAAAAAAAGAAAAAATTATCGTTTTTGGTTCACTTGTGCATGAAATTGAAAAGTTGTATAGATATTGGCCTTCATATGTTGATTTTTAGAAAACTCATAACAGTAAGTATAGAATAGACGGTTTCTTCATGATAAATGAATTTACTTAAATTAAGGACTCTATTAGTTATTTTGTAACTTTTACCAACATTTGTTTTCTATATTAGTTATTAGTGTGATATTCTTATTAGACTAGTGTAGTTCACCATTCTATTAACCATTTCATCAAGAGGACAAGGATTCAGATCCCGATCAGTAAGAAGGTTGTGATTAGTTTACCTCCTGTACCCCTTTAAATGCTAGTAGAGGTTAACCCCTAGGACATTTATCTATTTGTTTTAAATCATTTATTTACTTCTTTTTACGAGCCACTATAGTAGTAATATTCTCGTAATCCTATTGGGCATTCTAATTTACTGTGTAAGGAAAGTAAATCTTAACATCATTATTCACTTCCGCATTTAAATTATAAATTCATCTCCATTTAAGCTCTGGACCTTTATATGAATCATATGAAAATGAGCCAATAAAAAGAGGTTTTATAATACTCGGGCTCGAAAAGTGGCTTGGGATAATTTTTCATATTAAATTATTTTATTAAAATAATTATTTAATCTATTATATTTTTATTTTATTAAATTTTTGAGAAAAAATGAATTGGGGACGAGATTGAAAATAATTTTGAAAAAAAGTGGTGAAAATTTGAGTTCAGATGGTGTTTTTGAAAGAAAAATTAGAAACAGGAGGTCAAAGTGCGAAAAAAAAAATTTCGACCATGTGGGATGGCCCAGTTAGCAGCCCTAATAAACCGGAGCACGCCACGTGTCAAAACATGCTAAGGTCAGTGTCACTCAGGAGGCTACGCGGGCAATTCGCGTGCCCAGTGATCCAACTGCCTAAGTTCAATCCCGCACGTGTGAACGACTCAATTCATTTCCTTCTTAGGTATAATCAGACGGATGAGATCAATTGCGATGAACAGGCTAGATTTGCCCATGCAATCGGCCTAAACAGGCAAAGATCGAAGGATCCTCCTCGCTCCACATCGATGCGAATGGACTGACCATATCGATGCGAGATGGGTGTAAATACCTTACATCACAAGGGAACCCAAACCTTAGCCGCCAGCTCCCGCTGGAGAAGAAGATCCAGGTGCGAGAGAAGAACGCCAACCGCTGCTGCACCAAAACCACTGCTGACTACCAAAAAGGTAAAATTTTTCCATATCCACTCGGAATTCAATTCCAAGCCTCCTATGGCCATATCGGGGCAAGAGAGATGGCAGGTGAGCCAAAAATTACGAACAAAGCCCAACGGAGTTATCGCGACAAATTCTTCCGATGAGCCCCTTCCCGATTCCCGCTTCCTGTTGCATGTGATTTTCTGATCAATCATTTATCTTTTAGAAGAGACATTCCCATAGCCCTATTGAGTATTTTAAATTATTGTATAAGGAATGTAAACCTTAACTCTATTATTCACTTTCGCATTTAAATTATAAATTCATTTCCTTTAAAGTTCTGGGCCTTTATAGTTGGTATCAGAGCCGCATTTCTCGGAACCATTCCTTACACAAAGACTTAAAAATAACAAATACGAATTATCACTCAACCCTTTTTGTGAAATGCAGGTACAAAGATATGAGGAGAGGAAAACCCCCACTAAACCGAGTAACGCAGGATGGTTTGCTTAGAGAGGATGTTGACCGACTCTGTGAGATGTTGGAGAGACTCATCTCTGCCCAGCAGCCCTGGGAGGAAAAGAAGGAGCTTCCTAACCCTCCCTAGCTGCCACAATTTGAGCCACCCTTACAACGGAAAGATCCGGAGCCACCCTGATACAACTATGCTCCTCCACCGTATCATCCGACACTGCCATAATACAATTTGGTGCCTTCACC